TGTGACAACCTCCCTGTGGCAACCTCCCCGTGACAGCCTCCCTGTGGCAACCTCCCTGTGGCAACCTCCCCGTGACAGCCTCCCTGTGGCAACCTCCCTTTGGCAACCTCCCTGTGGCAACCTCCCTGTGGCAACCTCCCTGTGGCAACCTCCCCGTGACAACCTCCCTGTGGCAACCTCCATGTGGCAACCTCCCTGTGGCAACCTCCCCGTGACAGCCTCCCTGTGACAACCTCCCCGTGACAGCCTCCCTGTGGCAACCTCCTCGTGACAGCCTCCCTGTGGCAACCTCCCCGTGAGAGCCTCCCTGTGGCAACCCCCGTGGCGACCTTCCCGTGGAAACCTCACCATGGCAACCTCTCCGAGGCAGCCTCCCTGTGGCAACCTCCCTGTGGCAACCTCCCCGTGACAACCTCCCTGTGGCAACCTCCCTGTGGCAACCTCCCTGGGGCAACCTCCCCGTGACAGCCTCCCTGTGACAACCTCCCCGTGACAGCCTCCCTGTGGCAACCTCCTCGTGACAGCCTCCCTGTGGCAACCTCCCCGTGAGAGCCTCCCTGTTTCAACCCCCGTGGCGACCTTCCCGTGGAAACCTCACCATGGCAACCTCTCCGAGGCAGGCTCCCTGTGGCAACCTCCGTGAGGCAACTGTTGCCCACAATCCCGTATCCTGTCAGTTGAGGAGACTTGTTGACCGTTTTTCCAATAATAAAGTCCACCCCCCTTTTTTTTTACACAGGGTTTGACAAGGTTAGGTTAAGGATTCCAAGCTTTCTTGAGAAGCTAAGAGCTGTTACCTACATCACCTCATTTGAAAGCATTTTTATTGTTATTAAACATACAAGTAGGGAACAGGATGAAGTTGGAGCCATCTGTGGGCCAGCATTTTCATCTGATCAATTGACTTTATCTCGTTGACATCGTAATGCTCTACGAATGTGTTCCAGACTCGAGTCATCTCGGGATAAATGATCTCAGATGAAGTGATGTTCTGGAGAAGGGGGCAGCCGGAGAAGGGTTTCTGCTGGCTGCGTTTGTGGTATAAACTTGCTTCACGCTGTCCTCGAAGTTGATCTTTGTCTCTATATATATATCTTAATTCAGTTATCAATTCACAATTTTCAAAAGTCAATAAAAAAAGAAAATAAGAAGGTATATAAGCCTTTAATAAAACATGGTAAGAAATGTATATTATATAATTCAGGTCCCTTTAAACTTCTCCAGCGTCTGGATAATAAACATTGTCTCCATAAATGGTTATTTTTATACAATTTTATACTCCAAAAATGGTATTATGCCATTTTGGAGAAAAGGGAATAATAGACACTTGCATATAAAGCAATCCTTTTTGATAGTTTCCCCCCATTATTTTTAATCATAAACGGTAATACGTTTCGTCCACTAGTGGGCTTTTATCAAGCCACAGAGAGATTGTGTGGTAAAAAACTCGTCAATAAAGGATCAAATCAAATTTTTGTTCCTTTCCCCAGGTTCTTAATTTATCTTGGTGCGCCACTGTCAAGTTGTCCTCATCTCCAGCAAAATTTCAGATTCCTCCTTGTTTAAACAGGAAAATTTAGAAACTAATTTTCATTCTTAACGTTATTATTTTTTAACTGTTGAAAGAAGGTGTGTTTTAGGAGCGAGTCGCAAATACACCAAATGTAAAGTGAGAACACAGCTAGAATTTTAAACACTACTTTTGTGATACCAGATTCCTTATTTTTGCTCTGGGATCGTACCCTCTTCCCCTGGAAATTACTCACGCCTCTCCTCGCCTGTTAAGAACTGTTTTACGAGAACGAGACAAAGAAAGGATCGACACCATGCCTATCTCTTCTAGGGTAGGGTAGGTGCCTGAGCCAGAGCTTGCAGCTTACAAGACTGTCATTCCCATTATCCCCCTTGGGACGGGGATGGCAGACCAGAGACGCCTAGCTTCTCCCTACGAGCCCCGTGAGGGCGGGGAATGTGCCTAGGCCTGGGGACAGTTGGTCCCAAAGATGAGGGGGTACTAGTGCCTCCTCCCAAAGAGACTTAGGTCTCGACACTCCCTAGACAGTATCAAAGGGCCGAGGCCACCACTTGGAAAAGGCCCGGCCGGAGATACTGCGAATCAAGAAGAAGAAGAGACAAAGAAAGACTCAAGGCTGAACCATCTGTGATAACAGTGTCTTCTTAGGAAATAACCTGAAGAAGTTACGCAAGTAAAGAAAAGTAAGACATACACGAGTACTGGACCGAGGAGTCAAGTTAGAAAAAAGAGAAATTTGTGTAAAAAGTAGAGAGGTAAAGGGGGTCAGGAAAGTACAAGACTCAACTCAAGGACTAGTTTGTGCCTGGGACAAACCGCTCAGGGACTAGTTTGTAAAGTAACAGAAGCTTACTGGTATAAGAGATGTACGCAGGCTTCTGCTTGTAGAGAGAATCCAGTATGTGAGTATACGGTACACCCAGCTCCTGCTGAGTGTAATTCGCAACAGTAAACTTCAGTCCAAATGAGGTTCCTCGATTGGTTCCAAAGGTATCTGTAACTCATCCTTTGGCGCAGCGCCTGTGTTCTGGTGAGGCTTTGTTTATGGCTCAATGGCTCAGCTGAAGTAAATCATCACCAAACCCATCCGGTGGGCCCCGCACAAATCATTTGAAACCAAACCATACCACGGGCGGGGTTAGAACCCGCGATCAGAGAGCCTCAAAACTCCAGACCGTCGCGTTAGCCACTGGTTTATTTGCAATCGTGTCATTACGATTTCGTGAGTCATTTGAAACTAAGCTCGACCTACCAGTGAAGTCTTCCCTTGCTATTGCACCTGCCGTTGAGAGACGGGGGAGAGTTTACTAACGCCTGACACCCTGTAGAAGACTAATGTTAACTGAAGCACGGTTCTCACGCTTCTCCCCACGTTTCCAGGGAGTCGCCGCACCTAACACCACCAGTGTATATGATTTATCCAGTGTTTATTTCGTGTTAGGAAAGAACACACCCCGGTTCACTTTAATTTTGACGATCTTACATTTCCGCAACAGAGTCGTGGCGTGACACAGATCTCGGGTATGGCCTCCCTCATATTGGGAACATGTTTCCACCCCCTTTGCAAACCGCCTGTACGTGCGGCTTGCAAAGGGTTGGAAACATGTTCCGCATGCACCGTAGAAGCGCAGGGTGATAGTTTGGTCTAGATAACTCTCGTATCCACATGTGAGTGTATCTAGTTTGGTCGTCTCAGCATAAATCAAAAGCAACAGGGACATTCGGCTCCTCTCCGCCCCTTTATACAAGACACGGACGTGCACCATGCCTTGCGGTTTGAAATAATCCAGCAGCTCCTCCGTTGACACCTCTAGTAAACGGGGTGCATAAATACCCCTTTAACCGTAAGCCTGTTCCAAAGCACACAATTCCACAAGATCACCTGACCTTTGTGGCCTAACTGCCACAATATCGCCTATCAGAAAATGGGCTTAATTTAGCCATTGGCTTACATGCGTCCACAGCCCTGAGATAAACAAACTGTGCAAGCTCCTGGATGTCATCCATCATGGCAGACCGAGAATCATCCAAATGGTGTAATGCTGTCACAGGGGCAGCCTCTACCTTATGACGTTTTTTCCGGAGAAAGACCAACAACTGGAAACTCATCACCCTCAACCACCTCAACCCTCTCCTCTTCCTCCTCCTCCTCCTCCTCCTCCTCCTCCTCCTCCTTCTCCTCCTCCTCCTGGAAATATAAACAAGAGGTGGAAGGTACTCGCGTACCTTCCACCCCAGGTAGATCTGTTTGTGACTTGAAAAAGCCCACTGTGTGGGCGAAACGCTGTCAGTAAAGGATCACATTATACTGCATTGTGTTTATATTTCCATTGTGTCGGTATTTTATACCATTTATTTCCATCCTTCTCCTCCTCACGCGGACTCGTGCGCGAGTCCACTTCCAGGGTAGCCTCAGGAGAGAACTTCCAGTAAAACGAAAACACCTTGTGGCAATGAGCAGCCAGAGAACAACCACTCAGCGCACTTCTCACTGCTACCAGACATCTCTCTCAGGAGCAGCAGTCTGCTGTATGACTCACCTGCTGACCCATTCATGTGGTCAACTGCCTTGCTTCTCGTCACTCAACCATGAGCAGACGTCGGTCACTGGGCGCCGGGGTTGATGACACAAACTCAAGCAACATCACCCAGAGTTAAACAAGTTGTACAGCTCTTTGTTAACAGTACTTCCTAACACTAAGTGCTTAGTAATATAAAATATTACTGAATTCACATTCAGTTCAATATAAAAAATATATGCCAATATATCCTTGTTTATTAAGGGTACTTGCAAGTTTAAAGATTTTTTAGCATTAATTCAGTGTTAGGTAAGTGTGGAAGATTGCGTAAGTCAGTCTGGCGCACTAGGCCGTCCTGATGTATGTAATAGTAACCTCCCTGTGTCAACCCTTCCCGAGGCAACCTCCCCATGGCAACCTCCTTGCAACAACCTCCCCGTAACAACCTCTCCGTAACAGCCTTCCTGTGACAACCTTCCCGAGGCAACCTCCCAGTGGCAACCTCTTTCGATTGTAGGGATGGGTCAGGTGTGGGGAAGAATAGGTGTGGGAGAGGTAGGTGTGTGAGGGGAAGGGCACGTACGCTGGAAGGCGCAGATGTGGAGGCGGCGCAGATGTGTAGTTGAGGGGCACATGTGGGGTGGGGCAGGTGTGTCGATGGGGTAAATGTAGAGGTGGGGCAGGTGAGGGGCGGGGCAGGTGTGGTGTAGAGGCAAGCGTAGGTGAGAGGCAAGTGTGGAGGCGGGGCATTTGAGAAGGGGCAGGTGTGGGGACAAGACAGGTGTGGGGGCTGGGAAAGTATGGGTGGTCTGACTTGCTTCAACACGCTCCATCTCGCTGAAGCGTGAGAGAACAGACGTGTTCGCACGCCCACAGACACGCCCAGTAAGCCCCACGTCCGGGCGTGCCTCCACGGGGAGTTTCGACGGTACTGGCTTGGCATCGAGGGTCGCCCACTTGGCCCCTGGCACTCATTTGCTGGGCAGAGTGGCGCGTGTGCCGACAGAGGGCACCCCTCTCCACACACACACACACACGGGGCGATATTTTGGTGCAGCATCTCAGCAGCCGACCATCCCTCCTGCAGGCGCACACACTCTTCAGGTGGGTGCTGCCCCTCGTCTTCGACCACCGTGCTGAGATACACGCACTTATGGTGGTCGATAACATGTTATGTCTCCATCAGTGTTGGTTTCAGTGCTCCGTGTGTTATGAAGATGGTGTTGGAACAGGTTGCTGAAAATAAGTGGTGGTGGCTGGCTCGTGCTGGTGCCAGCTGGGAGAGTTGTCTTGCTTACAACTGTGCTTAGAGTCAAGCAATTGGTCCCGTGCTGACACCACGGTGTTGTGTACGTAGCTGCTGGGGGGTTGTAGTGTCGTCAACACTAGTCCAAGTGACCGTTTGTTTCCGTAGAGGCGGGAGTGAGTGACCTGAGGCATAGCATCGAGTGGGGCAGGTCATACCCACTTCAACCAGCTCCCGCAACTTGCACACCTTCACCTACGCCCCAACTTCCCATTCCTTCACACACGACAACCTTTCCTACACCTCCACTCACGCCTACACCTCTCACCTACGTCTAGGCCCCTATAACAGGGCACGACCTTTCATCTACCTACTACCACCTCTGAAACGCCAAACAGTGCCAGTGGTAAACACAAGATACGACGCTAAATTGGTATAATACGTCTGGTCCTCAGGGCGACACCTATCCTCGAGGTTCCAGTTACCCACTGCTCTCCACCTACAATATATTTCATCCTTCCACCTCTGTATTCCTCCATACCACCACCACTTCTTACAGGTAAAGGTCCTCGTTTCCTCCATGTAAAAGTGACAGAAGGCAATAAAAACTGTGAGAAAGATATACTGCCTGTGTTTACAACTTATAGTTATGAGAGCAGAGTAATGCTAGTGGTGTATCCTAAATATTATTTACATTTTAATTTTTCAATACGATGAGACTTAAAACACAACTAACATCCAGCTGACTATTTATTGCTAGGTGAAGAGGGTTATATATATACATATATGTATGTACCTGTATATACATATAAATGTACTCGGCTAGTTACCTAGATGTGCTCAACTAGCCCCACCTTTTTATCACCAATCGACTTCATGAATTTCTGACCTCTAGATTCCTATCATAAATTTTCATCTCTGCATGAACCACCTCTTCATATAATTCCTTCCTCTTTCCGTTAAGAATGAAAAAAAAAATATTTCGCAACTTTCCTGCAGGTGATCTGCGTCTGTTGCTGTCAACTGTCCCCCGACTCTTACCACATCACAACCTGCATTATCCACTACGTTTAGTCCCATTAATATTTTTTGTGCCGTGATCATGTACTCTAGTTCTCTCTGGTGTAGGTGTTAGGCTGAGACCCTCACTGTCTCTCCTTGTCTCCATCTACCTTAGGTCAGGTACAAGTCTCGTCGTGAATTTTGGATCTTCTCCGAGACTGGCGGAAAGAGAACTGAGTCTCCACCATTCCTTGCGCTGAACAGCCCACATGGGTTTAGTACTTCAGGAAATAAACCTAAAAAAAATCCAGTTTCTTCAGGTGCGGGTTCCACACTCAAGCCTATATATTTCACGGATATAATTAATACCTTATAAATTTAAGCTGACTTAAGATTTATTTGATGTGATTAGGCTAAATTACATGACATTAATTGTAGCAATGTTGGGCACAAAATTAAAAGTTTATATATCATATTAATTCACACAAATATACCGATGGATGCACAAGATGAAATTCCAGAAACCATTGTCGCTCAAGAAACTATAATTTGTTATAACTTGCCATATTCAAGACCTTTTTACTCCTAAAATAATAATAATAATAATAATAATAATAATAATAATAATAATAATAATAATAATAATAATAATAATAATAATAATATCTTTATTTCTACAAGTACATGTACAAGGTATACAGTCCTAGCTAACATTAGTAACATACTACTATATAGAAAGTCACTAGTTATGCAGAGCATTTCGGGCAAATTAGGTCAATTTTGTCCCGTTCTGTCTTCAGGAGGGAACTGGATAGGTACCTAAAGTCAGCACCTGACCAGCCGGGCTGTGGTTCGTACGTCGGTTTACGTGCAGATAGCAGTAACAGCCTAGTTGAACAGGCCCTAATTCACTGCGACGCCTGGTCACGGACCGGGACGCGGAGGCGTTGGTCCCCGAAACCCTCCTCCAGGTATTTAAATGATGCGACCCACACCAGTCAACTAACACCCAGGTACCCATTTTATACTGAAGGGTTAACGTGAACAATCGGTGTAAGGAAACACGCCCAACGTTTCAACCCTCGCCGGGAACTGAACCCGGACATCCACCCACACACTACACCACTACAACACCACACTCACTACACCACTACAACACCACACTCACTACACCACTACAACACCACACTCACTACACCACTACAACACCACACTCACTACACCACTACATCACCACACTCCACAATAGGGTGGTCGGAAAGAATAAGGGAGCGTGAGCGTGAAAATGCAGATAAGACAAAAAGCAAAGGATTATAATGATAAACAAGGAATGAAAGAATTAATTGAGAGAAGAAGAAATAAAGGCAGGGAGACAGGCAGACGATTATACAGGGTGTGTCAAGAGATGGACTCAATTTCAAAGCAATAAATTAAATTTACTATTTTGAAACTCCCTGTATTTATAGATTACTCATAAAAACGTGACTTTAGAGAGTGGGGTTGGGAGCTGGAGTTATGAACGGCCCGGGATACAGTGAATACAGGAATCAATATATACAGCATGTGTTAATATGAGTAATGTGTCCAGGGAAGAGGAGCTTTCCTAAACTCAGGTGCACTGAGCCAAAAATAAGTTTACTGAGGCTTCTACGCTCAAGGGTAAATTTATCACGTGTTAACAGCAGTGTTCTAATGATTTCACTGGGAATTGAATCATGAGGTGAGACAATTCTCAGTTATATGTCTCGTGTCATGGTGCGCATGAGAAACAGGATGATCTCTTCTTGAGGTCAGGAAGTTAGACCATGAAGGATTAGAAACATTTGGAACATCTGGGTAACTTTATTTGTAAACATTACAAGTAAAGATACCCAGATGTTGCACATGTGTCTAATTCTTCATCTTGTCGGTATTATATACCATTCGTGCACAAGTTAGATCATGCTGAGCGAGCAGCACCTCTCAGGTTGTGATGTGCACTGGACGAAGGAATATCCCGTCTTGAAGTGAGAAGATATGCAGTAATATAATTCGTGCTGTGGTGTACACTGGAGACAGGATGACCCCCCATCTAGTGACCAGGTAAATAAACATCATGTCACCAGAGGTCAACATCTCTGTGATCCTGTTTGTTGTCCCTCGCTGCCAACACCTGGGTTCACCTTCACATCATGACGACAAACAAAATGATTATACCTGGGACTAATTATAATGCTAAACTAAACCCATGTCCCATAATTATGCTTCACATTTTAATATATCACGTAACGAAAATATGAAAGATGTTTAAGGTGTGTAATATAAATTTATAATGACTTCCATGGAGCTGAAGAGCACAACTTTTACTCTCAAAATCATAGGCAAAAAAAAAAAAAATCTTCATTGAGATAGTGTACTACCCCCTGGGGCAGGCAGAGTGCTGCAGGTGGGCTGGCAGTGTCGTGGCTTAGGGCCAAGAGTGCCAAGTCTTCTGTGATGCCTGTGGCCATGTGTCCCCTCTACACCATCTCTGCTCTGGGCCAGATTGGTACCTACCTGCCTGTCTGCCTCCTTACCTTCCTATCTACTTAACTATCTGAAGGCCTAACTTCTTCCCTACTTTGCCTGCTTGCTTGATTGTCCGCTTCCTTGGCTCTGACAGAGAACTTGTTTGCCTGCCTGCTTGTTTTCCTACCTATCAAATATGCCAGCCCACCGGCCTACATGTCTACTTGGTTGTCTGCCTGCCTGCCTGCCTGCCTGCCTGCTTGCCTGCCTGCCTGCCTGCCTGCCTGCCTGCCTGCCTGCCTGCCTGCCTGCCTGCCTGCCTGCCTGCCTGCCTGCCTGCCTGCCTGCCTGCCTGCCTACTTTCTTGGAGAACTGTATCTGTCTGCCAGGTTGTCTACCTACCAACGTACCTTTCTACAAGTTTTGCGTGCTTACTGACCTACCTGCTGCCTACTGACGGGCCTTCCTATCCTGCGTTTCATCCTGCCTATCAGCCTGCCTGCCTGCCTGCCTGCCTGCCTGCCTGCCTGCCTGCCTGCCTGCCTGCCTGCCATCAACCAAAATAAACAGATTTCCCAGTAGAAAGAGGCAGAAAGTTGCAGATATTTTGGGTTCCCCGAACGTCTGGATCACCACTAAGTTTAGATCACAATACCAGGCATCCCCTACACAAACACACACACACACACACACACACACACACACACACACACACAACACACACACACACACACACACACACACACACACACACACACACAACCTTCTGGAGTTTTATGATAAAATAACAGAAGTAAGACACGAGAGAGAGGGGTGGGTTGATTGCATCTTCTTGGACTGCAAGAAGGCCTTTGACACAGTTCCTCACAAGAGATTAGTGCAGAAGCTAGAGCATCAGGCGCATATAACAGGAAGGGCACTGCAATGGATCAGAGAATACCTGACAGGGAGGCAACAACGAGTCATGGTACGTAATGATGTATCACAGTGGGCACCTGTGACGAGCGGGTTCCCACAGGGGTCGGTCCTAGGACCAGTGCTATTTTTGGTATATGTGAACGACATGATGGAAGGGTTAGACTCAGAGGTGTCCCTGTTTGCAGATGATGTGAAGTTAATGAGGAGAATTAAATCAGATGAGGACCAGGCAGGACTTCAAAGAGACCTGGACAGACTGGACACATGGTCCAGCAAATGGCTTCTCGAATTTAATCCTGCCAAATGCAAACTCATGAAGATAGGGGAAGGGCACAGAAGACCACAGACAGAGTATAGGCTAGGTGGCCAAAGACTGCAAACCTCACTCAAGGAGAAAGATCTTGGGGTGAGTATAACACCGAGCATGTCTCCGGAAGCACACATCAACCAG